TTATGGTTAATGATTATCAAATTATTGATAGATCAAATAATCCATTATCAATATAATTTTTTCAACAAAGCATAATACCTATTCTATAATATCAATGGGGATATAATGTGTAAATATATTACCAGTTATAAAATATATTTCTAATTATGTCGACATGGATGATATTATGACCCATGATTAATATGGGTCATAATATATAATGAAGAGTCCTATATGTTTACTATAAGGAATATTCATCCTTCTATGATCACACATATGGGATATATAGTATATAGGGACCCTATAGTGATTATAATTGGATGAACCATGGTAACACTATTCCTTATATAGATTCATCAAATGTAAGAGCATGGATGATAACACTAATATCCTATGATTAAAAGGAATCCCCCTTAGAATAAATTATGGCTAACAAAAAGTCCAAGATAATAGTGAGGCAAGCATAGTAAGAGAATTATAACCTCTCCCATTATTTACCTATTGTGTTTTGGTTCTTGTTGGTTTATGACTATATTATATGTCAACTCATTACAATGTAATCTCGAACATTCTATATAATAACAAAAGTTTCCCATCTAATAATAGAGGCATAATGTGCATAAAGTGGATAAGATATATAATTTATGCATTAAAATAGGCTTATCTAATTATTATCCAAATAATAGTTTTCTCTAAATAGTACATAATCATTTATATATCTTATCCTTTGTTATATTTTGATAACCCATATTTTAGCTTGGTCTATATGTACTAAACATAGCAATGGGTGATTTAAATCAACATAATTAAGGGTATCCGTGAAATATCAACCTACAACATGAACAACTATGAATGATATTAAACACATTAGGAGGAAGGGTTATTGGTTAACTATTTTAGTGGGCCAATAGCTATAGAAATACCCCCTAATACCGAGTAATTATGATATGGACGTTGATATAATCGTATTAATATGTTTTCAATCACCTTTAACTATCACATAAGATTATTGGTATAACAAAAATATTAGTTACCTAATTTTTAATTTCCCAATAAATGGTCATAGATAACACTATTAATAGAACAATCTCATATATGGAATTATTACCCTCATTGTAAATATATTCCTTGAGTTAACTCCTATTCCATAAGTAATATCTTATAACCATATATATGTGAATATATATGGTTATAAGATATTTAATTTGTTCATATCATAATATTATAGGATATAATCACATAGTTATATTAGTTATTAGTAGTAATATTGGCTATAGAAGGACATATTATGATCCTTACATTACCCACAATCCTTGGTTATTCTCATAGAATTTTCTTATATTAAAAAATTAATGTTTGGTTTCTACCACTCTATCTCTAATTAAAAGGATTAGATATCTTTGATAGAGAATAATAGATTAATAGGGGATCCATAAATTATGGTCTAGAGTTAGTACCTCTTAGAGCATACTATCAAATATATAGCTATTATAGGAGGGAGGAACACTATTATGAATAATTTTATTAAAATCTATATAGCCATCCCAATTCCTTAAACTCGCCATATTGCACAACTAGGTAGATATTTTACAGAGGGCATAGTAAATATGATCACTATGATTTAATAATTGATATTGATAGGATTTGTTGGCTATCCTTTTAACCAATATTGATGGCTAAATTAACAATTTAACAATATTATCCATGCTATAGTAGAAAAATACAAGTTCACTAAGACAATACATTGTTATCATCTACTAGATACCTTCTTATAAGTAGTGATCATATTTACTATGCCCTTTGTAAAATATCTACATGAAATTGTTAATTTACTAAACTAGATTGATGGAAATCATCAATTTAGTAACCATACACCCCAATAGCTAAATAACTATGATACATATGGAATTCAAATTAAAACCCTCCATAATTGAAACAAAACTAGATCGTTCAAGTCTGAAAGTAGGAAATAAACTATTCCAATATCTTTATCAATGGAAAAATGATAAAATGATTAGAACAACACTTTGAATCCTCCAAAACACCACAAACTTGCAAGTTTGATAAGTTAAAAAGAGAAACAAAGATTTTAGGTATTGAATGCCACAAACTAAGATAGTTTGATAAGTTCCAAAGCTGATATAAGAACTTTAAACAAAACTCTCACAAAAAGCTTAAATATTTTTATATTCATCAAATCATGTGTTTACAAGGAGAATCAACCTTGTTTATATAGAGCAAAGGTTAAGACACAACATTTAATTCTGATTCAATACAAATTGTAACCTCCCATTTAATGACAGCCCCACTAGTTAACTAAGCCATGATTATTGGCTTTTTAACTCCTTGTTCTAACCAAGAGACAATAAAACTCATACTTAAAAAATAAACCCCTAATTTTAGATGCTGAATTCAACAAATAAAATTACTAAAGTCCAAAATAACATGAAATAACAGCCCAAGATCGAAACACATATAACCAAGGCTGATTGGCCTTTTATTCTTCAATGGGCTGGATTGATTCAAACAATGTGGGTTGGATCATTGTCTTTATGATTTGAAAATGTTTGAATCATGTTAACAATTTTAAGGTCTTCTTGCATACATAGACCCTTGACAGAATTATGGTGACCTTGTTCCTTCCAAATGTCTTCAAGTAAGCAAGTTAATGCTTATTTCATCCTTTTTAGCTTTAGCTCTTATCATTGGCCCTCCATGAATGGTTAAAGGATCTTGCTTCTTGATGTTACTTCCAACCTTGGCCGAATCATCCCTTTGATGATTCATAGCATTCCTGCTTTCCTCTTATTCATCCTCAAATCATCACCTTCAATATCTAAACCAAACAAAGTTAAATAAGAAAAATTGAAAGTGGCACTTACATTGCCATACTCACTTGGTAAATCCAGCTCGTATGCATTGTCATTGATTTTTTGAAGGACTTGAAATGGACCATCCCCTCTTGGCATCAATTTTGACTTCCTTTGGCTAGGAAATATCTTTCCTCAAGTATACCAAAACCTAATCACTAGATTCAAATATAATCTTCTTACGGTTCTTGTTGCGTTGCTTGTCATATTGAAAAGTTCTCTTTTCTCTTTACGTGCGCACCCTTTCATGCAAGGCTTTGACAAACTCAGCTTTTTGTTTGCCATTCCAATTAGCTTTATCAAATGGTCAAGGCAGCAAATCCATAGGAGTTAATGGATTATGCTCGTACACAAGCTCAAATGGAGAATGGTTAGTTGTAGCATCCACGGTTTAGTTGTAAGCAAATTGCATATGTTACAAAAACTCCTCCTAATTCTTCAAGTTTCTTTGAAGTATGGCTATCAAAAGTGTGGAAAGAGTCCTATTTACCACTTTCATTTGTCCATCTGTTTGTGGATGTTAAGTTGAATACAATAGCCTTGTACCCAAGTTGCTCCAAAGCGTTTTCCAAAAGTGGCTAAGGAGATCTTCATTTTCCTACAAAACATCAACAATGACATTAGGAAAACTCTTGTCAATTTCGTTTGAAATAATTAAAACATCCTTGCACATAAGTACAAGTAAGGGCTGCCTCATGGTTAATACTTTCTTCACGTCTTTTGCATAACCCAATCATTTTTCTTTCACTGAATTCGTCCTTGTTTTCTCTCCCTTCATGTTTCCCATTGCTCTTATTTTTACCACTCAACTCACCATTTTATTTTTCTCTCTTCCTTGCTCCCTCCCTAAAGTTTCAATCAATGATGAAGAAAGCTCTTCATATTGTTGTTGTATGTGCATTTGGTCTTCAAAAATTACTTTGGTGATAAAGGTCCGAGTTGAAACGTCTGTCCATCCATTATGAAAGAGTAACAATTCTTGAACCCATCATAAATCATCTTCCTATCATATTGCCATGGTCTTCCTAGCAATATATGCCCAGCATACATAGGTACCACATCACACCATATCTCATCATTATATCTATGAATGGAGAAAGAAACTACTACTTGCTGATTAACCTTTATAGCACCACTATCATTCAACCATTGTAATTTGTACGAGTTTCGTATGTTTAATAGTAGGTAATTTTAGTTTCTTCATAAGCAAAGTACTATCAACAATCAAATTACACAACTTATTAGCAATTAAACAATAAGTATGGAACAAATTTTCATGTTGTTCACCATGTTCATTATTTTTACTTTGCAAACTAAGTGTGCGTTGTACAACCAATGTTTCTCCTTTAGCAAATTCTACATCACTAGCATCTTCTAATGGTGGCGTATCATTTTCATCATCCTCTCTCTCACTTTCAGAGTCAACAGCCCCATCCCTCATGATCACTACTCTTTTATTTGCAAAATGGCCATGTCCTAAGCATTTAAAACACTTAATTTCTCTAGTTTGATTAGTTTGATTCTCACCTTTACCATTGCTACCTATTTCATTTTTATTCTTAGAATCATCAAATTTAGGCTTAACAATGGGTTTATTATCCTTTTTACTCCAATTTGATTTCTAAGAAGAAGAAGAACCTGAATAAGGTTTAGAATTAGACTTACTTGTACCCTTGCATTTGAGCTGCCTTTCAATTTTCATGGCCACATTCACCATGTCTTCAATCTTCACATAGTGTTGTAACTCCACAAGATCAGAAATTCTTGTTCAAGCCACTCAAGAACCTAGCCATGGTTACCTCACGATCCTCCTCCACATTAGCCCTTATCATGGCTATCTCCATCTCTTTGTGATATTCTTCCACACTCATGGAACCTTGTGTCAAAGTTTATAAGGGCTGGTGCAAATCCCTATAATAGTGGCTACGGATAAATCTCCTTCTCACGATTTGTTTCATCTCGCCATGTATCCATAGGTTTTTCACCATTTTTATCCCTGTCTTTACACAATTGATCCCACCAAACAATAGCATAATAACAAAATTCAATAGTAGCTAATTTTATCTTTTTCTCTTCGGAGCGAGTTGTGGCATTCAAAATCATCTTCACTTTTCTTTCCCACTCCAAATAGGTATTTGGATTATTCTTCCCTTAAAAAGGAGGAATCTTCATTTTAATGTTGCCTATGTTTCGATCCACATTATCAAAACGTCCTCTCTGATTTTGTCTTTTAGGATTAATGTCTAGACCAACAATGATAGCTTGGTCATCATCCGTATCAATTCCACCATCATAATCATCATGGATAAAGGCTGGTTGCCTTCCTTGCCATTGCTCACCTTGTAATTTAACGAGGGCATCATCATGTTTCTCTAAATGATCTCTTACCTCTCCCATCATTTTGAACATTTGTTCAAATTATTGCTGCATTGCTTGAATTACTTGATCATTTGAGGAAGAACTCACTTCTTTGCCTTTGTTAGACATGTCTTATACATGAAAAATTAGAACAGACTTCACACACCCTTGCATGTTTCACCCAAATAATGGATCACTCCACCCTTATTTCACAATTTCTATAGCTTTTCACGATGCTAGTCTCACGTTTCTTGCCTTTTACCTCTCTTATTTTGTTTATGGGTTCTTAGACTTTAAACAAACAATTCAGATTATAGCAATTCAATGGTGTGAAAATGGGTAGGGCTAAGCAAAAAATAGACAAAAGGTAGCCCAAACTAAAGTGGGTTATACAAACTCAATTCACAAGCTCAATCAAAGATTAGAACTCAATTATTGTATATGACTATAATTTGAAATGAGAAATGACAAAGGATAAGAATTGGTATATAGTTTTGTAGATCTGTACTTGAATTCATAACTTTTTTTTAATAACCAAAAATGCGAGAAAAAAAAATATAAACAAAGATTATCAACAATTAAAATTGAAGAAAGGAAAAAATTGATAGATACGAGTTCTAGAAAAAAAGAGAAAAAGAAAAGAGGGTGGAAACTAAATAAACAACAAGTAAATGGATACACAAACCTCAAACTTGAGCCGAAAGCTCGGTACCAAATGATAGAAATCATCAATTTAGTAACCATACACCCCAATAGCTATAATAACCTATGATACATATGGAATGCAAATTAACACCCTCCATAATTGAAACAAACTTGGATCATTCAAGTCTAAAAGTAAGAAACAAACTATTCCAATCTCTTTATCAATGGAAAGATGATAAAATGATTAGAACAACGCTTTGAATCCTCCAAAACGCTATAAACTTACAAGTTTGATAAGTTAAAAAGATAAACAAAGATTTTAGGTATTGAATGCCACAAACTAAAATAGTTTGATATGGTCTAAAGTTAATGTAAGAACTTTAAACAAAACTCTCACAAAAGGCTCAAATATTTTTATATTCATCAAATCATGTGGTTACACGGAGAATCAGCCTTGTTTATATAGAACAAAGGCTAAGACATAACATTTAATTTTGATTCAATACAAATTGTAACCTCCCATTAAATGACAACCCCACTACTTAACCAAGCCATGATTGTTGGCTTTGTAACTCCTTATTCTAATCTAGAGATAATAAAACTCATACATAAAAAATAAAACCCTAATTTTAGCATGCTGAATTCAATAAGTGAATGAAGCCTAAATTACTAAAGTCCAAAATAACATGAAATAACAGCCCAAGATCCAAACACATATAACCAAGGCTAATTGGCCTTTTATTCTTCAATGGGCTGGATTGATTCAAACATTGTGGGTTGGATCATTGTCTTCATGATTTGAAAATGTTTGAATCATGTTAACAATTTTAAGGTCTTCTTGCATACATAAACCCTTGACAAAATTAAGGTGAGCTTGTTCCTTCCAAATGTCTTCAAGTAAGCAAGTTAATGCTTCTTTCATCCTTTTTAGCTTTAGCTCTTGTCATTGGCCCTCCATGAATGGTTAAAGGATCTTGCTTCTTGATGTTACTTCCAACCTTGGTCGAATCATCCCCTTGCTAATTCACATCAAGAGTTATCAATATACTACTTATAAATCAGCCATAGAGAATGAGTTAACAATAGCCCATAATTATGTAGAATCGATATCTTAATTCACCTCTATAGCTATCACATTAATAATATTATCCCTATTGTTATACTTTTAGATATAGGGGGAACCACGGATCTTGGGGATATACTAGGGACTTCTCTCTTACTCTGAATCAAGAGCACTTCCAATAGCTGATAAGACTATCAAGTGGATTAACAATAGTAGGTTCATTGAGATATAGAAATCAACTATATCGAGAACCACAATTAAATTATCGATGACCTCAAGACAAAATATAGTTGTGATGTAATGCATATCCTCCTATAACCCAACATGGCTATTCAGCTATTTACCATTGTAATCTTATGTATGGTGGCACTCCAATATGTTAGGTAATTTAGTAGTGCTTACTAACTCATAATTTGATAATGAGTCCTTATCATTGTAGATATTAATACATATTAGTTGATCAAATGTATGGCCAATAACTCTCCTAATTACCAGCATTAGTCCATACTAATCCCTTATATATTTAGGGATGAGCTTATATCATTCGATTATGTACCTAATTAATATGGCCCTAATACCAAGGTAATCTTCACCATCTAACTACCATGTGATTATTAATACATAGGCAGATTATAGCTATATAAGATATATATTATTAATATACAATTATAGCTAATTAAACCATAATTATATCAACTTAAGGGTAATTCCCATGGTAGTTAGATGGTGAAGATTACCTTTGATTCATAAAATATGGCCCAACGATCAATTCATCCAATATATTATTTATTGTTACCTAGGGGTAATTCTCTAAGCTGAATTTTCATTATAGGGATATATCATTAACATTATTAGTAATAAAATATATTACTATCATACTAAGAGGAGGAAATATAATCATCTAGAGGTTATTTGAGAGAATTACCCCTAGGGAATATATTTACATTTAGTAAAGGATATGTTGTTAATGATTCAACTTATATGTATAATGAACCTAATAGTTGATGACAATATGAGAGAGGCTAACCATTGTCATCAACCTATCTAATGCAAAAATTGTTACTAATAGGTATATATGATTTATTCTGGCCTATTCTTAAAATGATGAGGGACTATCCCACCATCGATTATCCCAATATATTATCAATAGTTCTTATTATTTACTACTAACAACCTTGTTAATCATAATCTTTTGCTCATATCTTTTGCGGTTACCTATTAAAATTATCTTAATAAAGTAATCCTTAGTCAATAACATGGAGCTATGGGTTTCTATTACGAGTTCATATAACTAATACTTATTAGCCTATGGTTACATAATGGGTGTATCAAATAATTGACAGGGTATAGGGATTTACCCAGTATGTATAATCTATAGCATATAAAGGGATACCAAGGATCCCATCAATTCATGAATAATTTACCAAATATACCGAGTAAAGGGAGAGGGACTATTCGGAGTGGGATACTTAACATGGGGATTACTAACCCTAACTCATTCATGAAATACACATTGATATTTACCCCTTGAACTTATTTCCGCATAATATTTAATGTCTAGGATGGATATTGACTATTTATTAAGTTGAATATTTCAAGTGTCATGACTATTAACAAGTTAATATCAAGGGATATGACAACTCTATTGTGGTCGTCCTTAATATCCATTTGAGCTTGTATTTATTTAGATATACTTTTGTGTGCAATACCTCATGTGGTTAGGTAAATTGAATCACCCAATTTATCCTCTCCATGGCTCTAAAGGACATATTGCCTTTGTATAGTAATGGTGATGACCCCTAATAGATGGTCTAGTTATTATCTCCTAATTTTCTCAAAGAAATATATTGGGTATCCACTAAATGTTTCCCAAGATGTTTGCATCATGTTACACTTGATGGCTCAAAGGAAAGATTTAAGCCTTGATTATACCAAAAACTCTATTGTGGATAGATAGTAATTGCATCATAAATTATATAATTTAAGGCTATCTATGGACTTATAAATAATCTACCATCCTAATTTGGCAATATAGGGCATACCTTATGGGCACTATTTTGATAAATATCTAATAAATAGGGAGTTTATGATAAGCTATAGAGGAATACATTAGAGAGTATGTATAATTTATTATTAGTCACCTCATAATATCTCTATAGTAAAGGTATATGGCCTAACTCCATATGAAATTATGCCCTTTTCCAAGGTGAGGGAAATATTGGTCTATAGTTGTGTCTAATATTGGTGATCAAAATAACCACGAAAATATCCCTTGTCCAATATCCCTATTAATATGGCAAAGTAACCTAGTAGGGATATTACCGAGTAGGGATTTTTGTAGATTAATTATTTCATTACCATAGCCTTAAAAGAGATGCCTATAAGTGCATTATAATGATTATCCCTATAAGTGAAATTTCCATTAAGTTGTGGTTGGACCTAAAGATTTCACCAAGGTCTCTCCATCGAACTAAACTCTCACTTAACATCACACTGCCTAAGATGTTCCTCCCTCTATTTACCCTTATATAATCAATCGATGGGTTACACATTAATTTAGAAGTTGAAGTATTGGAGCAATTCACCTTTCTATAGAATGCCCTTTCTGTATCTCCCTCTCTATATTAATGTGTAACCCATCGATTGATTATATAAGGGTAAATAGAGGGAGGAACATCTTAGGCAATACCCTCTTGATAGAAGGACAACATTCAGCTTATTGTTTATAATATAGATGACCACATATAGTTTGGTCTATCCTTAAACTAGACTTGTTAAATAATTACTAGTTGCTACCCTTTGCTATTATTTTATTCATAAACCTCTCCCTCTTGTACCATTAACCTAAGAGGAACTATGAAAGTTTATTGAATTTTGCATACAATAAATCATAATTGGACCAATATTCCAATAGCTCCCAAGTCTTATTAGCCATTGTCTCCTTACCAACATAAGTTTGGACTTACCGATATTATTTTGGTGAATATAGACCATCCCTCTATTATTATCTAATTGGGTACTCTATTTGGTGAGAATACTAAATAGTTAATCTGTAGATGATGGGTATAACTTACAAGAGTCTTACCCTTTAACCTAAATTCTCCATGATAGATACGGGATATCAAAATCTAAGCCAAAAAACCATCTCTTCCCTCATATAGCTTTTACTATTGAGAGACATAAGATGGAAGGGAGTATCTCTGTATAGTGTGAGTAGGTTATTAAATGATACATGTTGCCTTCTAAGTGCCTATGTGAAATATATTTGGGAGATACCTCTTGAAGATGGAATCTTATTAAATGTTTTTCAACCTTGGTAAAGATGGAATCTTAT